TGCAGCACCCTGCACTTGTCCGTGTTAAAACGCATCCTGTTCCTGTTAGCCCACCCCTGTAACCTATCCAGATCCCTCTGCAATCTCTCCCTCCCTGCTAGCGTGCTCACCTCCCCCCAGATTTTGGTGTCATCAGCGAATTTAAACAGGTTACTTTCCACCCCATCATCCAGATCGCTGATGAAGAAATTGAACAGCGCAGGCCCCAGGACCGAGCCCTGGGGGGCTCCGCTACCCACCTCCCCCCAGGTTGAATATGACCCATCCACCACTACCCTCTGAGTGCAACCCCTCAGCCAATCTGCAATCCATCTGACTGTGTAGGCATCGATGCCACAGTCGCCTAGTTTTTTAACTAGGATGGGGTGAGAGACAGTGTCAAAGGCCTTGCTGAATGTTCTGGCTCTATTTTCACGAGTGGGGATTCCCTTGGGTAACTGGCAGATTTAAGAACTCCTTATTAATCCTCCCCTTCATTAAATAAGTCAGAGTGACAAGACTGTATAAAGCGGTATTAAGGGATATATAATTCATAAGCAAGTTTTCTTCAAATTAAGCTTCCAGGTTTAGCCAATTCCTGTCATGGCTCACTGGTAAATAGGCCCCAAGTTGCCCTTAGATGCTATAATCACTTGATAAAACTGGATTAAGGGGCAGATCTTTTATCATCAACCAGATAGATTCATCTATTCAAGGACCATTTACATATTTATATGTGGATCATAGTCCTGGAAAGCCAGTTAGGAAGACCAAGAACTGCCCACAGTAAAGGGCAAGGTGCTAGCTACTAGGTCACAACTGTAAATGTGGACAATTTTACATTAGGCCTAGAGCATACTTTGCTTCTTCAAGGGCACTCGGAACTAAGGTGAAATCAAACAATGTGTATATAGAAATATTAGCCCTCTCAGCCTCTCTACTTTTTTTTTCTACATATGATTGGCATAGGATAGTCCAAAGAAGAGGAAGCTTCAGAAAATAGAAGGTGCAATTTTCCATTCTACATCAGCGCTTCTGGTGGACTGTTGCATGCCTGCACTTCTGTTCCTGGGATTTGTTCTACAGAGAAAATAGGGACAAAATAAAGGGACAATATGTTTTGAAGGAAGTATATGCCCATCTTCAGTAGCTGTGTAATCACATTTTTTTTGGGTGGGGGTGGCGGGGAGAGAATGACCATCTCTAGCTTTCCATTTCATTTTGCCACAACCAACTTGAGGAAGTTAGTTTAGAACAGCTCTGAATTTTGAGCTAGTAAAAGGCAATGGGATGAAAGCACCCAAAACCAAAGTCCTCTGTGTCTTCACAGAATTCCCATGCATCATCTCAAATGTTCTCCAGCTTGGACCTGGCAGGACCATTTCTGAAGATGAATAGAGAGCTCAATTTCTACAGCATATCCAGTTACAGACCCTCTTGTGCAACTGTTTACCAAATGTGCAAATAGCACAGTAAACAGTAACAAAACTTGATCAATCACAGCCAAATTTCCAATTAGTTAAAGACATAATACTTGATACTCCTCAATGCCCATATGTCTCAAAACAATTTAAAATGATTAATTAATCTTTACAGTTTAGTGTGAAATGGGTATTTTTATTTCTAATTTACAGATAAGAAACTGAGGGAGGAAAAGAGGAAATTAACCCAGGAGTTGTACTTCCCAAACTCCTGGTTAACCACTACACCACACTCTCTTAGTGATGTGGGAACAGATTCAGGGAGCCCTCAATCCCAGCCTCCTGCTCTAGCCATTCAGACCCCACATCACGTGGGCAAGGTGGCTTTTGACATGTAACCAAGCATTCCTGGACACGGGGACGTGATCAGTCCATTGCAAACAGGGGCAGGTAGGCAGCCAATGCACAGATACAGCAGTCCTCCACTCTGGATACAAACTCCTGATAAAAAAGGGAGGGTGAAAAATCTTGCACCCCTGCAGCAGTGAGTCTCAACCAGGGTACAATGGCACCCTGGGGTGCTCTGCGATCCTTTCAAGGGTGCCACACAATGTTAGTACTGTTCGGTGTGCAAATATGATTCTCACGATAAACCCAGACAATCCAAATAGGAGTGTTAAAAAACACTCTCACCTGTTGTGATCTTTCAGAGTTCTTTGCAACGGAAAGATTGCAGTCAAAAAAGGAGCTAGAACTAAGCTGGCATTTTTCGAGGGCGGCTATGTGTCTAACAAGGGTGGATTGAGTCTAAAAAGGTTAAGAACCCCCGTCCTAAAGGAAACAGGTACAGAGATTTCTCCTCTAGCAACAGCCTGATAACCACAAACCACTTAAAAATAAGGCTGAAAGGGCTCTCGAGGGCCACCTGGCACCGTTTGGGATTGTCTGGGCCTGTCTGCACCATCCCCGGCCAACACTCGCCCAACCGGCACCGGAGGTCTCACAGCCGCGCTCAGGGCTCTTGGACCCACCTCGGTCGGACGCTGCTCTCACGCCCCGGGAGCAACCCACTCGTCCCGTCCCCTGCGACGCTTGGCCGGGTTCACGGACAACTGATCCGCGCCCCCCACAGCCACCGCCTGAGCATGGCTGTGCCCCCCAGTCTTCTCTGATGCAGGTTAACCCCCAGGACCCCCCGCCTGTCTCCACAGGGCCGGGGCTCACACCTCTGGGCAGTGCTACTGAGGGGCAATAGTAGACCTCCTCCCTCCCTTCACCTCACTGAGGGGCAATAGCAGATCCCCCCCTCCCTTCACCTCACTGGGGGGCAATAACAGACTCCCCCCAGCCACTGAGCGGCAATGAGAAACAGCGCTTCTCCCCCTACCCTCCCCTCAGCGAGCCTCCGGCCCCGCC